TCACATTTTGTAAATATTTTATTATATCTTTTCATGTGACAACCCTGAAGAAATGGCACTTTGCTACAATGTAAAGTAGTGAGTATACAGCTTGTATAACAGTGTAAATTTGCTGTCCCCTCAAAATAACTCAACACACAGCCATTAATGTCTAAACTGCTGGCAACAAAAGTGAGTACACCCCTGAGTGAAACTGTCCAAATTGGGCCCAAGCTGTCAATATTTTGTGTGGCCACCATTATTTTCCAGCACTGCCTTAACCCTCTTGTGCATGGAGTTCACGAGAGCTTCACAGGTTGCCACTGGATTCCTCTTCCACTCTTCCATGACAACATCACGGAGCTGGTGGATGTTAGAGACCTTGCGCTCCTCCACCTTCTGTTTCAGGATGCCCCACAGATACTCGATAGGGTTTAGGTGTGGAGACATGCTTGGCCGGTCCATCACCTTTACCCTCAGTTTCTTTAGCAAGGCAGTGGTCGTCTTGGAGGTGTGTTTGGGGTCGTTATCATGTTGGAATACTGCCCTGCGGCCCACTCTCTGAAGGGAGGGGATAATGCTCTGCTTCAGTATGTCACAGTACGTGTTGGCATTCATGGTTCCCTCAATGAACTGTAGCTCCCCAGTGCCGGCAGCACTCATGCAGCCCCAGACCATGACACTCCCACCACCATGCTTGTCTGTAGGCAAGACACACTTGTCTTTGTACTTCTAATCTGGTTGTCGCCACACACGCTTGACACCATCTGAACCAAATAAGTTTATCTTGGTCTCGTCAGACCACAGGACATGGGTCCAGTAATCCACGTCCTTAGTCTGCTTGTCTTCAGCAAACTGTTTGTGGGCTTTCTTGTGCATCATCTTTAGAAGAGGCTTCCCTGCAGACCAATTTGATGCAGTGTGCGGCGTATGGTCTGAGCACTGACAGGCTGACCCACCACCTCTTCAACCTCTGCAGCAATGCTGGCAGCACTCATGCGTCTGTTTTCCAAAGCCAACCTCTGGATATGAGACTGAGCACGTGCACTCAATTTCTTTGGTCGATCATGGCGAGGCCTGTTCTGAGTGGGACCTGTCCTGTTAAACCGCTGTATGGTCTTGGCCATTGTGCTGCAGCTCAGTTTCAGGGCCTTGGCAGTCTTCTTACAGCCTAGGCCAACTTTATGTAGAGCAACAATTCTTTTTTTTCAGATCCTCAGAGAGTTCTTTGCCATGAGGTGCAATGTTGAACTTCCAGTGACCAGTATGAGAAAGTGAGAGCGATAGCACCAAATTTAACACATCTGGTCCCCATTCACACCTAAGACCTTGTAACACTAACGAGTCACATGACACCGGGGAGGGAAAATGGCTAATAATGCCCAATTTGGACAGTTTCACTTAGGGGTGTACTCACTTCTGTTGCCTGCTTCCTGTGCCTCCATACTGTTCCCAGGGCTGGTCTCTGCCTCATCCTCCTCATCTGCCCTTGAGCTAATTGCTCGTGCCTCCACTCCTTGCTTGAGCAAAGTCCGCCTCTTCAATCGCGTTGAACTATTCCTCTTCCAAACCAGGATCTGAATCAGCAGGATCGGCGTGGCACACCTCGGCATGCATCTGGCAGGACCGCCTGCTCCAGCCCGCCATCCCACTTGTTCCTCAGACTCTCAGACTTCGTGGACGGGGCCAGCAAGGGCAATGCCGCCTCCCTCTCCATGCATGAGGTCTTTATTTATTTCATTTTTATACCAACCAATAGCCAAGGCTTTCTGGGCAGTTAATCCAAGTTTAAAACGAAATAGCGCACGTAAGATAAAATTAATTTTGAACGACAAAACCACAATAGCAAGCGTAATTGAATCAGCGTAGAAGCATAGGAGCTGTACAAAATAAAATGCAAAATTTAAAATGAAGCTAAAAGACTGGGAAAATAAAAAGGTCTTTGCCATTCAAGGTGTCACTTTTGTTTTTCTGCACTAATTGCTTTTTTTCAAATGGTGAGATTTCTCAGAAGCTGTACAGGGATCCCTTGGTTAGATGATCTGTGTATCCTACCCTGAATGCTTCCTTTTCAAACTCTTCCTTCTGCATGAGCAGTTTCCCTCTGCATTCCCCTTCAGTGAGGCATGGAGCATACCCCTCCAGGAGCATATTGTCCACACAGCACAACACAGCATGCATTGGGACAGGAAGGCGAGTCCATTGCTCTGTGTGAACAGTGTCCCCGATGCTGCAGAGCCCATTGCAACATTTAAGGGGACAATGAAGGCCCAGATGAGTCTCTTGGCAGGCAGATGTATCTTGAAAAAGACAGACACTTAAAAAAAAAAACATGGGAAAGAGGTTTTATGTTTCTTGACAGGCAGCAAAAGAGCTTTTACTGGTTTCTTTGCAAAAAGATTAAAATGCACATTAGGATTAAATCTTACATCTGTTTACCAGGAAGTAAGCTACCTTGAAATCAATGGAATTGGCTCGTTTCAGAATTAAGGGCATAAGGTTTCGGAGAGCCAAATTTAGTACAAGACGCCATAGCTCAAACTTGCCCAGCCCTGTCTCCAGACTGCTTTGACGTTCGAGTTCCATCACCCCAGCCAGCATGCATAATGGTCAGGAATGCTGGGAATTATAGTCCAATACAAAGGGCAACATATTGGGGAGAGCTGCCATAGAATATGCCAGCAACTACAAACTACTATCTTCAGCCAAACTAGTCCGTGCAGTTCCAGAAGCAGAGTGGCAAGGAGACTGAGCTACCAATAAGGAAGTCTGTGCTTCCAATTTCTCTTCTGCCATAAACTGTAAACCTCCCTCAGCCTCACCCTCCATCTTCCAGCAGTATGAGAATAATAATACACACCCATCTTACAAGCTTGGTTTCAGGATTAGAATGGTGTAAAGTCCTTCGACCACACAACATAATTTAAGTGCTAAGTTATGTGCTCAGTATTTCATTTTCCTGAAGATCAGGTGCTGTATCACCAACAGTCAATGGAGGTGATTAACTGCTGGGCAACTGAAGACTAACGTAAACAAAACCAGCAAGTTATTAGAAAAATTAATCTGCAGTTTGCTTGAAAAACAGTGTTTTAAATAACTGTTTCCTTTTTGTTCTTCATTTTCGCATAACAAAATTCTGCCTTTGCACTATGCAGTGATGAAAGACAACTAATAATGAGCTTTTGGCTCACTCATTTAAGGACCAGTCTCTCCTGCAAAAACTGACACTGGAGCAATTCAAAGGTATTATTTAATCTCTGATCTAATTTTAGGGATAAATGAGAAGCCAGAAAGTAGGCTGAACTTGGAAGCAGTGTGCTCATTGAGGCTGCCAGGAACCTTTAACAAATCAAACTTGAGAGTTAACATTAGAGAGGGATCTAGCCACAGAAAAGAGTATGACTGAATAATATACTGCTATATTACATTCCTGCCACCATTTGAAGGGCTTTCATGAAGGAGGACTTTGTCCTGCCACTTTTACTGAGAGTACTTCCCTTTCCTTTGTGGGAAGAAAACTGCATCCTTTACAAGAGATCCCCCCCCCCCACACACACACACACATACCTGCCATTCTGCACAAGGCCTCTGCTGCAGTCAGTTGGCTCCAGGTTGAATTTTTATAGCTGATTTCCTCACTTGAAACAAAGCTACAAAAATGCCTAGAAAACATGGGAGAGGTTCTGGAGGGCAACATGCCATGAGAAGGCTCTGCAAACTTTTCTGAGGGAGGAATCATGAGCTCATGATAAATGTCTTGAGACGCTTGAACACCCTCTCTAGCGAATTGCAGAAAACCAATGCTCATTAGTGGTAAAACGGTTGGATGCAGGAATGGAAGGACTCTACCATGGAAGAGAATTCCACCTGAATTTGGGGGATGCCTTCCAAACCACTGCTCATCCCATTCAGCAGCATCACCCCAAGTTTCTCCTGCAGCATTTTCAGAGGACTGACGGGGCTGCCCTGGGGAAAAGGAAGCAAGGAAACCTCCTTCTGCTCTCAAATTTGTCCAACTTTGTTGCCACAACGTATCAATAATAAAGCACTTTTGTACACACCATTAGCCACTACCTATGAAAACGGCACCAACACAATAAAAGTGCTATAATCTATATGAATGGCTGCTTACATAATGTAATGCACATGTTGCACTTCCTTAGGTCTTTTGATACTTAATGACTGGGTTCACACAAGCCACAGTGAGTTGTTTACCCTTGTTGGTTTGTCATGTTGTCTGAATGCAATTGTGGTATTTCAACAGTCAGTTTGATCTTTAGAAACCATGATAAGGAACATATTTTTACGATTTCTCTATACCACCATGGCTTGTCACACTGCATCCAGATTTCCAATCTTACTACACAACTACTGGAAAAAGTGAAACTCCAGAAGCCATTGTAGTCACCTAGCCTGTGTGTGGACCAATGAAGAAGCAGGCAATGTCGGCAGGGAGCAATGCCCCTTGGGGATGAACTGTAGTTGCAGTGGGATATGTACCAATGGCAGGAGGGCTGAGTGGGGAGGAAGGAAGCATGGTAACGTAGAAACCACCCAATTGCTGTTGGGTAGATCACAGTAAAAAACCAGAAACCATGGTAACCATGCAACTTTGTTATGTTGTGTGAACCCAGTCAGTGTGTCTTTTCCTTACTACCAAGACAACATGAACGTACTGGTTGATGCTGTACACGGAAGTAGCTGCAAACAGCATGCATATTTGAGCCAAGTGAGGGAGGGAGAGGAGTCTGTTTGACAAAAGAATACTAGCAAGACATTTTATCTCTAGGATATGAAGCACAATTTAGTAGATAAGGAAAAGCATCCTTGGCCTCCCCAAAGACACAGGCACAAATGCTTTGATGGATTGTGATAATTATAATATCTCTGTTCCCAGAAGGCTTAAGGTCGCTATGCAAAACTGTACATCCTAACCATGGATCCAATACAGAAGTCTCTAATCCAGAGGCAAGAGAATCCAGAATATTTCCCCATATCAGTGTAAAATAAAACAAGAAACAAAATATATAACATTTTTATTAAAATAATTGCAAACTTTTATTTACACAAAAACACACATATGTACAAGGAAGCAACTTTCTTTGCAGCCTAGTGGTTTAATGGTTTGCCCAAAACTGTCCTTTATCACACAGTTCAACTTTACTATGAATTCTATGGACCCTTCAGATAGCTTTTGCTAACAACCTAATGTAAACAAACCATACATTACATCATTCTACACTGAAGGTCTAAATATATTGTCCAGGTGAAAAACATGATATGACAATCTTACAGAAACCAACAGAATGTCCTAGAGTAAAACTCCTGGATACCTAATATATGGAACAAAAATGTGTCAGATTCTCACATTTTAATGATCTAAACATATTTACAAAAGGGTCCAGATTTAAGACTGATACATGTTCCATTCAAAATAAAGAATGTGTGCAGTTAAAATGTCTATTACAGGTATACCTTTTCATGTATTTTGCAGATAGTTTGAACTCCAGTCATATTAATGGGCGAACATGTCAGGAGTGGGGAAAGCAGCAACAGTGACCTAGAGAGCGATGCCATGCATTCCCCCGCCAACCTTACCAGCTGGGCAACACCAGGATTTGGAGGGCTGTGTCACGACACGCACAGCATCATGCCCTGAGTTGGCTCATGCTATAGCCAGGCAACCACAACAGTGTTTTTCCCTCTGCTCAGATCATGTTCTCTTAGCTTTGAGTTTTCAGTGCTAAACATCAAGAAGCCCAATGACAATTCACAGATGTGCCAGTTTCACAAATAACACCAGAAATAAAACAATAAAGACCTAGTGCTAAAAATGGGGTTTACATGCCACAGGATATGGGGTTCAAACTAGCAATTCGTAGTGTCTCCAGCAAACTGAAGTCCAGGCTGGCCTTTGAGTCGATTTGAATTATTTCTGCAGAGACAAGAAAACATTTGCACATTTTAATTGGTATTTAGTTACCACGAATCTCCCACACTAAGGGAGATCAATAACCCCCCAATAAACCTCACCAAATATACCTGCTTATGATATACCACAGATGCCAATACAATCATAATTATCAATATCATTATGGTGCATAGCTAAGTATATGAGGCATGATTTTAGGCAAAAGCATCCTTAAAATCAGTCAAAACACACACACGCACACTTGAATGTGCCATAGGAGATACGACAGTGGAATCAACTTATTTCCCGTCTGCTGCATCTGCTTCCTGCCAAAAATGTTTTTATGGAGACGAGCTGCATCTAGAGGGTCCCACCATTTGGTTTCAGCATTAGGCGGATGACGTGCATTGTGGAACGCGCCATCGCAGGGCAAGCACAGGCAGACCTTTCCTACCATTCCACCTGGGGTGTAAAGGAGCCAATTGGTATTTAGCCTTCAAGCCTTGCCCACTCGTGCTCCTTCATTAAGGTGGCTGGCAAGATAAAATGGCCTACAGCTATAGTGAGACCTGTCATCCCAAGATGGGAAAAAGAAGTGAATGAATAAATCCACATAACTGAGGCAAGCTTTACAAGTTGCAGAACGAAATATATGAGAAGGGAGGAAAAGGGCATTCTGTATTCCTGGACATTTCTTTCTACCTTCTGCTGTAATCTCAGTGTAAAACTGAAGATGCTTATACCTGCGTTTGTTGTATCGATGCCTGCATCGTGGTCTTGATAGGAAAGGTCAAAGCAGATACTTTGGCTGCCAGGTTCGTTGATTAGGTATCCTTTCCCACCAACACTGGATTGGTGCCAATCAGAGCCAAGTAGCTGCTACAAGACAAATACAGAAAATATGTTAAATTAGCTATCTGGATTCTCTCAGGAGTTTCGTGGGAAAGGGTGCCAAAAGGGAAACGTCTTCCTCCCATGTGCCATATATGCGAACTTCCTTCTAGAGCAACGTAGGAAATCGATTTGGGTGTGTGGCTACATTTGGCAATTTGGGAAACTCTCCTGATCACCGTCACAAAATGGGCACATTGCAGATGAAAGCATCAGCCTTCAATTTTCTCTCATTTCCTTAGAATGTCTCTGTTACCCTTTTATGGAAAGAATTGGGGAGCAACTGGAGGCCCCCACTTTGCTTTAGCTGATTTCAGCTTTGAGGAAGACACTTTGTTTTTTAAAAAAAGAAAAGAAAAACTAGAACTAGGAGGGCTGGGGCACCTTGGCAAGTGCCAAGAAATGTATCTCAGAACAAATTATGGCCTGCCTACCAGTCTTCTAAACCATGCCCAAGAATATTCTGAAAAGAAAATCTTACCTGGTAAAGATTTCGGCCAAATGCATCCTCATCTTCTGTTGAAGGGAGAAAAAGAGGAAGAAAAACACAAAAAACAGCTCAGAGATTTTGTTAATGTAACGCTTATTATATTTCCTAAATTTCCTCTACCAGCAGTACCCAGTACCCATTGCAATTTCTAGTCTTGGAAAAATACAAAATTGCAGAATGGATTGACCAAATTTACACAAGTAATTTTATTGATTCTATAGGATTACACCAGTGAAACCAAGTGTGTGAACACTTCTTAGCAAAGCACCCAATCCATCTACAGTTTAGCCTTGTTTATTCCCATTTATTTCAATGCATAAGGCATATCCATAATTTCTCACTAAAATAAATAAGATTTAGGCTGTAATCCTATTATTTGAGAGCAAGTTCTAATGCAGTCAATGGGACTTACTTCCAAATAGGCATACGTAGGATTTCATTGTAAAAAGTGCTTAAGTTTGGCTAGCTTAGCCTTGCAATGATTTAGACTCCAACTCTGTCACCTACTATTGTGGTGGTACTGGTGATAATTAATAATAATAGCATGTACCAAAGAAGAAGATGATGCTATTTCGCACACAGATGAACCATTCAACTATAGGTTGCAGTCTTACATACAGTTACCCATAAAGGTCGCACTAAACAAAGGAAACCTTACTTCTGAATCAGCATTAATAGGATCAGGACATTTAGACGATGAACTCAGAGTTACGTTACACATGCAACCAGACCTCTATCATCATCATGCAATCTAATCTTCCTGTTATGACCAATAAGCTATCCAGCATTTATAGCAATTAAATACCAACCATCAGATGAGGATGTGACAGGCGACACTTGGAAATGGTAAAGGTCGTTTGTGCTGTCAGGCAACTGAATATCCCTCCAGTCCGCATTGCTTAAGTCACAACTGGGGAGTCCTACAAAATCCAGAGAAACTGTCAGGATTATAATGAAAGACCTGCTTGTCCAGGATTGTTCCCAATAGCTTTTAATTATTTCAAACAACCCAACCTTTTGGTTTGCCATGGTTTTCAGTGTTTCCCTGGCTTTTTTTTCAGGAGCTTTTCAATAAGACTAATAATAATAGAAAACTGCTCTGAAGAAATGCTTGCCAACCCACTCCCAATCTTCCCTTGCAATATAAAACCACAGGGGAGATTTGAGTATCTCCTGTGGCCTCTCTTTTACACGTGTAGGGGGGAAGGAATGCTCAGATGGGCTGGCCTGCATCTTGTGAACTGAACACCACTGAGATGATCAAAACTGTCTCTCACCTAAAGCGCTCCCACCCTCCATTTCCTCAGGCAGGTAACCGGGAAGCACATAGCCACTGTGGTCATCTGGTAACTGAATGCTGTTGGTTGCTTCAGTGGTCTCTTCTGTCTTGATGTCTTCGGCTGACTGCAAAATAAATAAATAAGCAAATAAATAAAAAGGAAGGACTGCATGCATTGCAATATGTCAACCCTCCTAGCCTGGGTTGCTGGTCTCTTAACCACACGTTTATACATTTTTAAACTTAATTTGAATTAGAGTTCCCTTAAGAATGCTGTTCTGTGTAAAGGCTTTGCCACAGGCCATCTCTCAAAGCTGCATTTGTTTGAGATTTATTTGCAGTTTAATGGAATTATCTCTTTTATTCTGTGGATGCCTTAGGCCTAACCCTAGAAGAAGCATGAGCTAAGGAAAGTGGAAGCTCAGCCAGGGGCATTTCAAAAGTATTTATTATATTCCACCTGAGAGGACAGTCAGCTCTTTTTGTTGGTGGAGAGGCAGGATATAACTTAACTAATTAAAACCAGCTTGTCTATCTAGCCAGATGGATTTTGGAAAGCTTTAATCATAATTTAAAAATTACTACATATATTGGGGCATTCATTTTAAAGAGCAAATGAACTAGTTCACTAGAGAACTAGTCTGATGGCTCAACAAATTTAGTCCATTGAAAGCACAATCCCATTCATGTTTAGACAGATAAAAGTTCTTCATATCTTGGCACCTATGCTGGCTGGGAAATACTGCCAGTTGTAGGCCTTTTTTATTGTCTAAACATGTGTAGGACTGCACCATGAGAATATTAAATTGCTCCTCGGTTTACCTAAGGGAGGGGTGCTTTCTGCAGTCCCCTACACTATCTCCAAGGGTCCCCCAACTTCAGGCAGTTCAGAATGCTGCAGGAAGAAGGAGGGGTGAGAAAGCCCCTGGTCTGTGACTGTGAATATGGACTTGGTCCCATTGGAGGTAAGTAAATGAGGTTCCAAACTTCCATCTGTTGTTTGGAGGGTTTAAACTTCTATGTGAATGTTTTACTTTCTATCAGGTGAATACATACCTTTCTTGAACTCTTATTTTTTACGGACTTCAACTTCTTTTCTGTTCAAGAAAAACAAAAGCACAGATTTAGTACATTAATGAGAAGAGAGACCACACACAGATAACATAGGCAGTATAGGATAATTCAAGCACTATCAATCTCATGCTGGAACAATCCCCCTTCTGTGACTTAGAATACTGAGGCGATTATGCAACATCAGTGGTGTCCTTTCTTCATGCTAGGCCATCCCCTTCCCACTGATTTCAGCAGAAAGTCACAAGCCATGGGGCCCAGCCATGGCCCTCATGGGAGCCACTATCATTTAGCATGCTGAGTAGCTTCCTTCTGCCACAGGTGAGTTTCCAGTGGCACGCTGAAAACCAGTCTGAAGAAACCTGCAAAGACCCTTCTGAATCAGACCAGAGATGCATCTAGTTCTGCACCGCACAACGGCCAACCAGTTGACTGTGGGGAGACACCACAACAGCCGTCTCCACTGCTGTCCCCAGCAATGGACATTCAGAGGCATCCTGTCCCAGATCTTGGGGGTAGCCGTCTAAAGCCATGGCTGTCAACAGCCACCAACACATTAGCCCCACAGGTTTTCAAAGGACCACCACGCAGCACTCTGTGGGCCGAAGTGACAGTGGGCCAAAATGACCAAATTCTGTTTTGAAAAATGTCCCTATTGGTGACTGAGAGCACACCCTTTGCATCTTTAGAACAATACCTTTTCTCTGTGACTTTACGGAGGGTTCCAGCATTCTGTAGACCCGGACAGCACTGGAGCCCTTGCTAATGCTTTTGTCTTTCACCTCTTCAATATCTGGCAATGAATTCATGGCACACCGGAAATTTGCCTTCCATGTCTTAGGATCAGGCTGAATGTCACCTTCTTTGTATCTCCCTGTAAAATGGCATTGTAAATCTGGGTTGAGCAGGAAGTAATCCAACAACAGGATAAAGCAAGCAACAATCTAACTCCAGGCATGGCATGTTCCACTTAATGGTGTGAGAGGAGCTCTTGTTTCATGCAGACTCCTTTCAATCTGGGTGGTCCAAAGTACCCCACACACATGAGCATGACTTAGTCATTCTTAAGAATAGACCCACTGAAATCAGTGGGATTTAACTGAGTCAGTCCCATTGACTTCAGTGGGTCTCTTCTTATGTGTGACTAAGTCTGGGCCCAGCACACAGTATGGTATCTGCTTCTAGTTATTTGTGGCCAGTTGGAGATTCTCCTGTATGCTTCTGTGACTCTATTCTGATATCAGTGCAGGAAGTGGGCACCTTGTCAAGGCCTTTCACCACACAGGGGCAAGTCTCTGGGGCCAAAATAAAGAGATTGGTGAATGGCTCATACTGGACAAGGGCTTGGGAAGGCAGTCAAAATCTCACGGCTGGCAGAACAGCACTGGCAGAATGCAACAGTAGGAGCAGTTGTGTTGTCGACACGCTAGAGACAACCAGCATGGTGCAGTGGCAAGCATAGTTGGATGTTGTTGGAGTTCAGGTTAAAATCTAAAATGATCACCAAAGTGAAGCCACTTCTCTCTCACTGCTGTATGATTGCTGAAAAACATTATTTTGGCAAGATTATCATCCCATAGAGATTAAGAGCCAGGACTGGTTGCAGCCACCCCTTTGGCTAATGCCTATTCCTGTTGGCTTGATTTGTGGCCTCATGGAAGGGGACTCACGAAACATTTTGATCTAAGCATTGAAACCACATACCAGTATGAATGGCCCAGTTTTTGAAAAGGTAGGCATCTTTTTCAAGCTCCCAGCCATGCTTAGCAGCATGTTTCCACGGAATCTGGAATAATTTTTCATCCTGCAATCCAACAACACAGTTCTGAGTAAACATCACTGAGTTATATATGAGGAACAAAGTCAAGAACATCCCAGGAAGCCATTTTTCTATTACTGTATCAGTGTAATGGAATGGGAAAATGAACAGGAAACTCAGTAACAACCTTTCTGGATCTGGTTGCATAGGGTTCATTGTAACAGCAGGGGTCGGTTTTGTTTTGTTTTGGAAGGGATAGTATTTTGGCAGTGGTGTTAACCAGAGAAAGCTCTATCTGTTAGTTCAGTTCGATAATCTTACACATAACAAGTTTAGCATTTAGAAAGTAAGAAGTAAGTTTCAAAGCTACACTGAAGCATATGCAAGAATATGGATGAATTATACACTCTCATTAAACTGTTGCAAGCTGCATCACTGGAATAGATGACAATTTCACTTTCCAGCTGTGGAATTCTGTGCAAAACTTGTCTGTCCAACATATTGCTGAAGTTCCTGTATTTTTCTGACTACAATTAGCTGTTTTCCAAAACACAAGTAACCTCATTTCTATCTTTTCAAAGAGGCCCTGATTTGTGTGTTAAACTTCAAAGTGATTTATTGGGTTATTAATTTGAAAAACAAAGGAGATATGGGTAAAGAAATCCCATACCTTATTGATCCAAGAAAGTCCAGGAATTTTATTAGAATTAATTTGCATCTCCAGCCAAGGCCTCATACGCAGTCTTGTCTGTGGCATTTTGGTTCTGAAAAGAGAAGGATTGGAATGAATAAGCAAGAGAACAAGAGAACCTTTTCATTAAGACTGGGCCTGTACAGAATTCTGCGTAGTCATGCGTAAGACTGCACAGTGGGTTTCAGTGCTTTTCAGAATGATCTGTCATTCACATCAACCATCCGCCAGCAGAACCCTGAGTGTCTCAACGGAACTCCAGAGCACAGCAGACGGTGCTAGGAAATGTTCTAGGCTGCGCACTCTGGGCATCAGCCAAGCCAGCTGGGTTCAGTGTTGCCTTGTTTGAACTGACAGTGTGAGTTCAAGTCTCATGATGTGGTACACTGTATGGGAAGACTGACAGTGGCTAACAACCCATCGTTCAAGGTTTCTTGCCCAGCATCACTTATCTTCTTTCCAAACCCTTGATACAGTTCTGAGAAACTCAGGGTTGTCTAGAACATTATTTGAAAACCACTGTTCTAAATAAAACAGCATGTTTTCTTCAACAGCACATCTTAACAGATGCCCAATATTTTGAAGTCACATTCCATTAAAACATGAATTCCAAAGCTGTCGCCATGTTTGCGCATTGTAGAAAAACAACAGTGTAAGTCTTCCTAGAACTCTTTACCTAACAAACAGGGTGGATCAAGTGTTCTCTATGTGCCAGGTAAATTAACAAGATACACATTACCTCCCCCCCCAACCATGAGCTTATTTCAAATATGCAATTATTGTTTTTGGCAAACAAGCATCCTGTTCATAGGATGGGCACGATCCTTCCCTACACAGGCAGAGCACCTGTGTATAGAGGGATTCCTGCAGGGCTCAACAGGCCTGGAGACTTCCCTGACCCAACTCAGTGTGCTCTGCAAGAGGAATGGCAATCCAAGAATGGATGTTCTGCAGATGCCTTCTCCTCTGCTCTAGAACTGACATCGCCTCACTGAGCAGGAGGAAAGGGCTGGGTGGGGTTATCAGCCACGTACATCCCTCCCACACCAGGAACTGCCCTATGGGTGCCATCCATGCATGAACATCGAATTTCGAGTGAGCGAGAGGAAGAATGGAAAAGCAGGTATCCGTTAAGTGCCATACTAATCCCTGCTCACATTGGCATGGATCATACCCCAAGTGTTTTCAAAGGGAATCTACCGCTCTTTCAACAATGCTACCTGTTTAATAACAAACCCACAGATATGTGTCCTGTCCTGCTTTCTCCTCTCCAACAAAAATATTGGCATTGCCTCAAGATATGTTCATTTTCTTGAACAAGCCCATCAAAGCAATAAATGGTTAGACTGACTCCTTTCTATGGCGAGAGGCATTTGATAAAACATTTTTCTGAAAATTCCCAGGCAATATTTACTTGTTCTGTTTTGTTTGCCTTCTAACTTCCTAGGGACAGCTGTAATTCAACAGAATGCCTGTGGCTAAAAAGTTTACCATATAATGAAATGTTTGCAACTTAAAACAACAACTCTAACTATTACAATGCAATCTTGTAATATTTAGGGTTGTTACATTATACTGCTATGGTACCTTTACTGTAATGTATGCTAAAACTGCCCAAAATATGTTTATTTGAGCAAGTGTTTATTAACTCTTAACAGACTCTTAACAGTTAGAGAACATTTGTTTTTTCTAGGAGACAAAAATTATGTCTACGTAGTTTCGTTTCAAGGACTGGATATGCTCATTACTAGCAACCCACACGGCACACTTTGTGGAAAAGAAAAAGATGGCTAAAGCGGCATGGTAGAAAGCAATGCCATTCTGAACCATGTGGCAAAGGCATTCTCTCATTATTTTGCGTAACACTAGAACTTGAGGATATTCCCTTATGAATATGGGAATATTCATTGGAAGCAGATTCAAATCAAACAAAAAGGAAGCACTTTTTCACACAGCACACAATCAATTTCCAGAGGTCATTGCCGCAAAAACTTGTTATGATCACTGTGGTAACTGGCTTTTGCAAAGCCATAAGAGCTAAGAAAGGAACATCAGTGCTAACAGAATACTGAACGGAATAGTAAGGGGTTCCAAATAGAAGACGCCACAGACAAACAACAGAACAGCTGTGGCTATGATACTCTTCCTTCCTTCTTCTCATGCATCTTTTTTTCAAAATCCCCGACCTCGGGGAGGATTACATTTCTGCTGTGGACCCCAGTGCAAAGCAGGGTATTCCAGAGCATGTTCTAGCACACATATACAGTTTGTGAAAGACACTGGCCAGGCCTCTTGCGTGTCACGATTACCCTGCATGAACTGAGCCTGGGACACACCCAACTCAGTCCAGTGACTGCATTTTGCAGGGTAAAATTAGTAGTGCTGAGCAAGCCAACTTCACTGAAGTCTTGCACCCCTCCAACTTGAGCAATCCTGTGGGCAGCTGCTTTGCCACCATGTGTATTAAATGCTGGAGTAGATGCTTCTCTGGTCTCATGTTCTTATGAGATTTATCCATCATCACTGGTCCTTTCATTAAATTGCCAGGAAATTGCAAGGAACCTGAGCAAGGAATCCTTGGGATAGTATCTAAAGCCATTCTCCAAAAAAAATCTAACTTCTCTGTGTACTGCACCATCCATGGCACACCTGGAAACATTTGCAGCATGCATTAGAACAGCCTTCCCAACTTGATGCTCTCCAGATGTTTTGTATTTCAGTTTCCATCAGCCACAGCCAGCATGGTTGATAGTCAAGTATAATGTAGTCTAAAATGTCTAGATGAAACCAGGATGGCAGAAGACTGTCTTACGTCCAACAAACTTGTGTCTATGTAGTGCAAGATGCAAAACTGCAAGCTACAGTGTGGTCTTTTGGTTAAAGTCTCTATCTGAACATAGCAGAAACAATCCCCTTCTTCATAAGAATTAGTGTTTGGGAGCATGTGTATTAAGCATAACCCAACTCTAAACATGCTTGGAAGCAAATCTTATTCATTCCAATGAAACTTAGATCCATGTTAGAAAATTAAGACTGGAAGTGTAACATGCCCAATTCACTCTTTCAGTGCCACCGATATCAATGGCTCTTCAGTGTACTGATGTTTCCTGCATCGGGGAAAAGAATGACTGTTTTACACATTATGTTTTTTCTACACGGGCATAAACTCTGTGTAGGAAAAGGCACAGACACCTGAACTGGTGACTTTCAATTATGATATTATACGACATACATGCTTAGGAACATCAGAAACGGCTTTAGACTGAGTTTGGCTGTAAATCCCCAGCATTGTCAACACAGATGAGCAGCAGCTCTCAGGCAGGTGTTTTTCCAGGCCTACCTAAAGATGCCAGCTGGGACACTCTACATTCAAAGCAAGTGCTCTGCCAGTGAGCTATAGCATCCCATGGGCACCGCTTTCCTCCAAAGAATTCACCGCTGTAGAGAGAACCTATAATGCAAAATGGACCTTCCTTCCCTGTAGCCACTGCAATCAAGATACTTTAGGTTGCTTAAATGCTGATGAAATGAATAGGGAGCAAGCAGGAGACAAAGCGTATGGCACCCTGACTCAAGCTTCTCACAAGAGAGTGTGTGAAGAACTGTGTTCTCAAAGATGAGTTACAGCAGAGTTTTAAGTCTCCTGGGGTTTAATGGCAGTTGGGACTCAGTGAACTTTGTCTGGCATGTCCCTGTTTGTTCCAGGATGCACTTTCTTGCATGTGCAATGAACTGCAGGTGTACAGCACGATTCAAAATGCTCCTTAAACTCAGGGTTATGTTTATAAAGCACCAAAAGATACTGGAGAGAATGTTTGGCACAAGTAAACTCAAGCCCTGCCAGCTTCCTGCTTGAAGTTATCTGGATTGCGGCCAGAAGGTTTTTAATTGCCTGCCAGTGCTAAAGCAAAAATAGGCCCCAAAATAATACAGTTACAACTTAGGATCCTGAAAACCAAACAAAACAAAAACACTTATGGGAAAATGCTCCAAGAATGCTTACTGCTCCCTACGGTCCTCTTGCTGGCCTATGAGATGCTCACAGGAAGTTTGTGCAGTCAGCCTGGACTAACACAATCCTTGCCTGCCCCCAGTTATGACAAATGGCCCAAAATCTGCCCTCTGCTTTGCAAAACTAAGTGCCAGGTCAATGTGTCCTACATACGGATACTGTTCTTCCATGGAATTTTGCTTTGGCTGGTGTCCTGAGTGCTCATTGCCAAACATAGTACATGCATCACATTAATCACAGTGGCTCCTGTGCAAGCATGCCCCGCTAAGCGAGGTAAGGACTTTTTTGCACTTGTGAAAAAGGCACAAATATGAACTTGTGGCTTTTGTTCCATTGGCCAGTCCCTGCAAACATAGAAGATTTAGAGGGAGAGTTGAAAAGTCCAATGCAAACCTACTTACTGGGTAGGAAGAGGAAATGGCTCCTTGTTGAACTCACTGGAACTTACTGGTAAACATGTTTCCATTTCCCCTTTTAAATTTTGAAATATTTTACCTTTCCTTCAACCCAAAGCAGGTAACTAATTACTGTTTGCAAGAAGGGGTCAATCCATTTTAAAGAGAAAGCAAACAATAATATCCAGTCCCCTCAACAAATACAGGGTTATAAGCCTGCGTACGCCAAGACCGCCAGGGCCGTACAGCAGTAATATAAGTTGGTTCTCTACCTGTTGCTGCCTCAGCACTTTCAAAGATTTGCAGCTTTTCCCGACTACCTTTCCAAGGCTCAGATGCTTCTTCTGCCGACCCTGACCCTGATCAAGAGGGCCAACACCAAAGGCGGGTCCTCCTCGCTCTCTCCCTCCCTTCTCTGTTTAACAAGCGTTACTTCCTGGTCCAACAACAAATAATCACCACCACCCATTGTCAATTATATTGGCAAATTTCCTTCCACCAAAAAGAAATATGAATCAGCAAAGTTTTTGTGCACCTTAGCGAATTAAATAGTTACTGATGCCGTTTAAAAAAAAAGCGCAAACCACTTTCTTCTCCTGCAAAAATTATCCTAGCCAGAAATGAGCCACATCCACGCGGAGAGCATCTCGGATGCACCGCGCCGGCTCCGCTCCTTTGCGCTCCTGCGCTCCGCAGCCGGCTCTCCACCGCTCGCGCGTGCACTGCTTGGCCTTCCGACCTCACTGCTTTCTGCGTCTTCTTTCGTGCACACACCTACCCATTTAGGTGCCCACTTCGTGCACTTGACGAAATGGCCTCCAGCCCACGCTATCTTATGGTCCAACCAATTGGGTAGACTTTAAGGACGTTTGGCTGCTTGCATTGCGACTGTCTTAACACGGCAAAAGTACTCTTGGCATACGTCCCGTTTCTCCCAAGAGCCGGCAGACGCGCTATCACGCCCTCTCCCGGGGAGTACCGAATGAAAGCAACGACGCTTGACCTTTGCAGAATCGCACATAATTTTTTTTAAGTTACTTATTAAACTTCCCGTTTGCCTTGCTAAGTTTAGCGCAGTCGGCGGGCTGCAGCCTGTAGCTTCTGATCTCCAGGAAACGGGACAGCGCTGCTATGTAGGGAGCAAAGCGGCTTGCAGAAATCGCAGGAAGACGGCAGAGCCTATAAAGTTATCAACTTCCCGAGAAAAACAGCAGATGTACTACCGCGCCTCCTCAAAGCCCCTCTCCACGAGCTAAATTCACTTCCATACACTCCCACCCCGCTGCACTTGTTGATCTGGGCACTACAATCCCACTCGGGAGTAATTCCTACCGAGTTCGATGCAGCGTATTGCTAGGGAATGGGAAAACACGCCCGGGACTGTGCGGTTCGCCTCTTGCTTTAAGCGAGAGGCAGCCAGAAACGGAGCGCTGACACGACCCACCTTGCTTGCTCTTCACAAGGCGCACTAGAAAAACGGAGCGACAGGCGAGCTCTCCCTTCCCAGAGACCGGCTCCGTCCCGTGCCAGAGATGAGCCACTTCTGCAAAGCCCGGTCCAGCGCCGGCGGTATTATTCGGCAGGTTGCGGGAATCCCCGACCCAGGCACAGAAACGCCGCCGCCCGGCCCAATCAGCGCTCCGCAGGGAGAGCGCGCCGCAGCCAATCAGCGCGCTGCAGGGAGCCCGCGGCCGGCCGAGCATCATTTCGGGGAAATCAGCCTGTTGTAGCACCAGCGGCTGAAGGGGAAGTCCGGCTACTCGCCACCAGCCCGTTTCTCAGCTCTGACTGCTGTTGTTCTGCGCCTGGTGGGAGTTGTGTAATAGGCAGGTAGAGGCTAATGGCAAGTGAAAAGAAAACGGGCTTGAGAAGCAAAGTGGCGGGGAGCGCGTTGACTTGCCCTGGAAATCCTCCTCTCCCATAACACACGCAAACAGCCTGCCACTGTTCTGCCGACGATACCAGAAGGGTAGAGAATTCTCTAAAAATTATTTCTAGCAACACTCGAAGACCGTGCTTTCTATGGCCATTTTTGTTGCAATTCAGTTTTTGCTTTTATACCATTTTATCATCTGATGATGTTATGCTGGTGGACTTTTTGCTACCTTTTGATTTGTAGGGGGAAAGCAAAATTATGGAAGGATCCATTGGGACACTGATGCTGTATTGAATTTTTATTGTAAGATGCTTTAGAATAATTTTTAGCCCTGAAAAGGAGCAGAAAAATGAAATGCCAGAGCTCTAATATGGGCAAAAGGTAAATCTCCAGGTGATCTGGATTTCAATTCCCAGCATTCCTGAACATTAGCAGGAGCTTCTGGAGGCCCACATCTAAGACATCTGGTCAGTTCCCTTCTGCACACCCTTCTGGTAAGGTACCTTTTAAGAGCAGCGGGGGAGAGCTTCCAGCCTTCCAAGCACCTTTGGCCTACAATGTCCATCTGCCCTAGCCAGTATAGTGGATTGTGAGGGATGATGGAAGGTCTTCGGGAGGGGTCGCAAGCTGCCCACCCCTGCAATTAGTGCAAGAACAAGGAGTGCAGCAGCTACTTTTTGCGAGACCCGGGCCAGGGCACTACCTAAGCCCTGCCAATTGCCTCCCACTGCAAAAGTTGCCCCCGCTGCTGGATGATGACAAAAAGCTGTACAGTGTGGTACAGTGTGGTTCTGCCAACACTGTTGTGGGGGCATGAACTGTCACAGTAGGTCTGTACAGTAACGCCCAGGCTGTGGCTGAAACCCCTGAAAGGAACTTCCGTGGCACACTGATCGCAGAATTAGAATTGGAAGCATGACTCACTGCCACATGCAGTCCCTGACATCTCCAGCTAGGATGGACAAAGACTAATGCTGCAGCCCAGGGGGACCGCTGCCGCATCAGGCAGACAGTCCAGAGCTGGGAGGGCCAATGGTCCTACTTAGTATAAGGCACCTTCCAATATTCCTGTGGCAATTATGCTGTGATAGTGGATATAGCATGCCCTGAACACTTGAAATGTGCTTATAGTTGTTGTTAGTCGTAAAGTCGTACCCGACCCATTGCAACCCCATGGACAACATTCCTCCAGGCCTTCCTGTCCTCCACCATCTCTCAGAGTTCACCCAAGCTCACACCCACTGCCCCAGTGACTCCATCCAGCCACCTCATCCTCTGCTGTCTCCTTCTCCTTTTGCCATCAATTGTTCCCAGCATCAGGGGCTCCTCCAATGAGTTGTTCCTTCTCATTAGGTATTTGAGTTTCATCTTCAGTATCTGACCTTCTAAAGAGCAGTCAGGGTTGATATGGTTGTAGTAGTAACATCAAAATCATCCTAACAGTGTTTTGCTTAGGCACTTGGTACATCTGTCCGCTTAGAGCCATCCCTGCTTTGCCTTAGGTCCTGGAGTACACTTTAAACATTAAGCATAAAGCATGGCAACTCTTTTCAGGAGTGTCTCTGAGCCTGAACTTTGTTATAAAAGCATCACATATTTAAGGATTCAGAGCAAAAACACTAGGCCAAAGGCTTAGGTTGATATAGAGAGTGCACCCATGGGAGCTAAATGTTGCCAGAAAAGCAAGACCAGGATTATGTGGGCCTGCTTTCAAGACCTAAATTCATTCTGTCAGTTCACCTCTTCTCTAAGCCATGCCATCTCCAAATAATGCAACTCTGTACAGAGTCAAAATGTATACAAACATTCACAGCAGGGCCACTGAGTTTCCCATTTTTTCTAGAATGTCATGAAGTTGAACAATGCCACGTGGAAATAATGTCTGGGGACAGCGAGACTTTGGATTGCTCCAATTTTCTTTGAAACTGTGGCACATTGGGAAAGGAAAACAGCATTCCTTCAAGGGGGCAGGATTTTAAAAAGATAAAGCTGCCTTTATGCATCTTTGATTAGAGAAACAAAAATAGGATATTAGATGGAGTGAGAGAGAGGAAAGCAGAATTTGATAGAGCTGGGCATTACTTACGTAATAAATTCTTCAAACACCCTATTTTCCATGGCTGAATAAAAAATTTACACGTAGTGCTTTCCACAATTCATATCAACACCACCCTTTCCAGAAAAAAACAATTCCAAAGATAAAAGAATGTAGAACTATGGATTATACATTACTCAGCAATGTTTTGCTTTGCCTTCAGTATCACTTGTTCAGATGGCAGAGAACACATGGATGAAAGCAAACAAGCTCTTTAGATTTCAAGCTCATACAACACTTTAAAATGATGTAATTGTTCTAGGTGAACAGTCTGATCTCTACTTTTTTCTCTCTACTCTTACAGGCACAACACTTTCCTCAAATGTGGAACTTGAGAACCTGAATTTATAACTACTGGATCTGTGATGTTTGTGTTACCATAACCTGACTGCACACAGGAAGGACTTGCAATTCTAAAGCGTATTTGGTAAAACATTTATAGTAAAGAAAGATTGGTATTTATTCCACGCCTTGAAAAAACTGCAAGTCATGACTTAATAAGCCACATGCCTGCACCGTTAAGGTCCTTTTACAGAGGATTCCCAGACAGAGCAAGTAAGCCCACTTGTTTTCCGCTTCTCACCTATAGGCACAGCAGTGTGATCGTACTTTGAGAATATGGTAAGCACACATACATGCAACCTGTTCCTCCATGGTTTCCCCTGTCCCAACAGGGACATGTGCATCCAAGCAGACGTACATATATCCCTGTGAAAAAACATGGCAAACCCTTTAAAAAGGAACTGACATTTCGCCTGCTAGCTGTCAGACCTCTGGGCTTCCTTAAAAGGGGTAGTTCACACTTCTATTTTTCTAAGCACCCTGCATATGAGAAAAGGGTGGAGAAGTGAGACGATTCTTAGAGGAGTCTAAGAAAGTCTTGAGGATCTGGACACAAGAGGATGAATTTTTCATGAAAAGTGCATTTTAAAAAAATTGTTCTGCTTAGAAATGTGTAAGTGCTCTGTTGCACACTATTGTGAGTCCAAACTGCCATGCCCTATCTGGGAAATTCCTGACATGTGAGGATTTGCTGTTAAAGCACAGCAAGCACCCCTCACAGGCACCGACCCAGAAAGACTGCCAAGAGCTTTATTTTCAACTCAGTTTGTCTTGACCGCTCTCATGAAAAGACCACTCACTGCTTTGGTTCCTCTTGACAGCCCAACTTTTGACAGTTGTCAAGATAAACCAAGTCAAAAATAAAGATAATAATAAAATAAAAATAAGATTGCACGCATTTTATGAACCTTCCAATGTGTCGCTTGACCACTTTCTAGGAACTGCCAAAGGAAAAATGAGCTCGCCACAAAAAAAAGAAAAAAATGGCTGCAAGAGAAGAAGAACTATAGGAAGCATAAAGGGACTCACAGTCCTGGTGGACAAAATGGGACTGTTGAGACTCACATCCCACTTGGGAATTGGTGGGGTAGCTGCCAGTGAGTGTAGGAAGGAGGATTTGTTATCTTGCCAAGAAGGGCTTCAGACAATATTTATTTATTTAAAGCTTTTATATCCCATCCTTCCCAGTGTCCCAGTTAGCTAATACAATAAAATAAAAAAATATGATTCAGCCTCCAGAAATAGATCAGCCCATCATGGGTGAAACAAAGCAAAGAAGCCATGGGTTGCCGGGCTGGCTTCTTGCTCACAAACAAGCCGCCTTCCAGGAAACCATCTGAGTTTGCATGAGCAACAACTCGCCATGGCTTCTTGTCCGCAGTGAGCTGTTGTGTTTTATACCCAATCAATGTTATCTTAGAAGAGGCGTGCTTTGTGCTTAGGCTCCTGGGCAAGTTTATTTTCTTATATCATTTACTTTCTGAAAATGCACAATTTTGTCACCAGTCATGAATGGGCCAATGTTTTATAAATGGGCAGCCCCTCATGGCAACTGTTCTGCACCCATGAGCCTCTTGCACAATTCCAAGTGTGCCTCTCAGCTCAGAAAAGCTTGTGGTCCTCTCATCTTGAACATGGCATTTCTCTCAATTACTCAACCCTGGAAAAAGTTTGTCCTCAATAATTATGCCCAAGCTTCTCTACTGCCTTTTCCAAATGCATGCCTGTTTGTGTTTTGTGTGTTCCTAAGGGCTCTTTTTCTCCTTTCTGTAATCTTTATTGCCTTTCCCTTTGCCCATCATTCATGGTATCAGCCTTGTATCTTGTCGCCTAGATTGCCTATTACAAATCTCCATAGACCTCCATTTTGCTGTACACTGAGAAGCAGCGACTATGCCTAAACTGGAAAGACAGACAAGATCCCACAGGGGCAGCCAGCTTGTGGCTTTCCAGACGTGTTTGCCTACAGCATTTACCATTGCTATGCTTGGTAAATGCTATACTTCACCATTGGCTATGCTGGTTAACAGACAGGCTTCCAGTGTAGCAGGCAGGGGCAAAGGCAGCCTCATGGAGGGTGTCTGCAGGCTCAGTCTGCTGTCTTTGGGCAATGGCCAAAACGTCGAAAGAGACACACGTTGCCACCCTGCAAAGCACAAATGCCTTCCCTCAGCTAAGTGGGTCTGATAAGGGGCCTATGAAACAGAATAAAAAGAAAGACCAGCTGAAGAGGAGGAGCCAGCGCTGAAGCAGCAGCCACAGCCAATGTTTGCTGGAGCTGC